GCTATATATACAGTAATAAATAGTGCTTCAAGACAAGTTTATTGCAAGTAAAGCTATCAGAGAGTCTAAACTTGAATTGGAGAACATCCAAGAAAACCTTTTAGACTACCAACTTCATGCCAACCACATCAACAAACACTGTGTGATGTACAAACAATATGTGTGTGTGTGTGTGTGTGTGTGTGAGCAAAAACCAAAACTAAAGCGAACACATGATTACAAGAAAATCAACAAGGCCGATGCATCCTCTACAGAATTTCTAATTCTACCCACAGCACTGAGGTCCGGATCATCGCTAGTACAGGTAGATCACATTACCTTTCTGAACAATAGAGTTCTGCTTTAGGTTTCCCAACCATACTTAGTTGGATTAATAGGTATAAATTACCATCACTGATATTCCTGTTCAGACAAATATACCACAAAATACCCACATAGGTGTAAAAGCAAAATAATTTTACTTCTGAAGGAAAATTGTTAAAGCTAAGGTGCTGTACTGTACCATATATGTAGATAACTGACTAAGTGATTACTTGCCAGTTTATCTTCACATTCCAGAACAAATGGTCCTTCAGGCAATTAAATAATTAAGGACTATAATAAATTATGTTACTATTAATATAAACAATGGATCTAGAACCATTTCTAAAACTCCTCATATGTTGAAGTGTCTTCAGATGCATGATCAACTTAAGAATGCATTTTATTTAATATCAGTGAAGGAAAATGGTGAATGACAAACATTTGCGGTTCTTATTTGTCTTCCCAAAGAGTAACCTTATACATTGTATAGTATTGATTACACGAAATTATGTTGATGATATTCCTTAATTTTGCAGAACATAAGAAATGTCTAGACTATATTACTAATACAGAACCTTACAGAAGTATTCTTGTAAACTTGGTATAGTATTAAATATTATTTATACTGAAAAGGGTGATTCTTTCAGTATATAGGATTAATTTCTTACTCTAGACAACTCTATATAAGTGCCACTTAAAAAGGTGGATTTTATTACAAGTATAATGAAAATTGTATGACCTAAACAAAAAGTTGCAGATTTTTGATTCCGTTCAACTTTAAAGTTAACATTGTTTGCTCGCCCAGCTATGGAATTTGGCTGGCTCCATGTTAAAATTAGGTTAATAATTGAAATTGTAAGGCCAATATAATAACTATTAAGCGAATACGCACAACAAAATATTCACTGTAAACAATATTTACGTTTGTTTGACATGTTGACATTAAAACATCAGATGTCAAATACGTTCTGTTTTACCAAAAAGAACTTGAACACTTGTTATTTAAGTTAATCTAGAATAAATGTTTACACCTTAAAAGAAAATAAGGCCGGTAAAGAAATACCTAAATAAACTCAGATGTCCCATTCGCACGAGTTTAAATCAAAGTTTGCCTCCAAAACCACTTGGTGTATCACGCCAAAGATCTATAGGCAAACAAGTATAAGAGACTGAAATATATGTATCATGGGTTCCTGACCCTGATATCTTTACTGTTGTTTTCACTATTCAGTAAGTGCAGGAAGATTCTTTTTCCATGCCCTCCTTCTTTTCGGAATTTTAAAAGTCATAAAGAGAAAAAGGGGGGGGGGGTATATGCAAAGGTTATTAGGATCCATTATTGATACCCACGGTTCAACTCAAGTTTCTGAACCTCATTAAGTTCTAGTGTTATCTCTGGTTGTTTCCTTCCAGAAGTTCACCCACTTTACACAACATATACAATGTAGTCACCACCATATAATCAGGAATGAATTCCTAAGAAAAGGAATAGGTACTGCATTCTATGGGAATAATGCTAGCATCACATTGTAAAGTAAAACAAAACAGCAATACGACTTTGCTTTGACTTTTTCAGCATATGTATCCGTTGTGATTATTATATTTTTACTTCTAAATTTACCTATCATACAGTTTATTGAATACTATTAGATAGGTACTTCATTAGTCCTAGGTCCTCTTGTGTGAAATTATTAAGAAACTACCTACAAGATTTTTTAGAAGTGTATACAAATTAAGGCCAAAAAGAAAAAGAAACTTTAATATGTGGTGTGCGGTTCCAGTTTTATTCTAAAATAGGTACATAATTGTGTATTATTACAATTATTATTTAAAACCCTGAGGGTTACTGGTAGAATATGCCACTTGGAATCAAGTTCACCATGTACCGTAACTTTATTGTATTGTGTACATGACAATCTAAATAAATCAATATTATTATGTACCTGTATGTACTCCAATGATAATCTTAGCTTAAAACTTTAGTTTAAAACATCAATTAATTAGCACATATAATTCACACTATCTCTATCACTATAGATTGTACCTAAATGATAATGCCAATAAACCTGAACCATATTTAATAGTACCTACCTACCTACTATTTTTTATTTTTAAGAACAATTTTTAAATCATTGTTCTGGGATCAATCATATTCTACAATTTCAAGTGAATGTATGTCTAGTACTATAACAGTGGACTCTCAACCTCTTCTAAAGCCTCACAGAGATGTATCAATCAGTATCAAAGTCATATATTTAAGTAAGACGACTGCCTGGTCAGTCAATCCATTTTTCCACCAACAATCCTAATATTGCATGAGCTTATTAGCTCTGTATATCACTATGTATGGAGTCATGATCATAATGTAGATCTACTGAAAATGGAGAAGTTAGATAATATATATACAAAAAAAAAAAAAAAAAAAAAAAAGAAACTGATAATTTTGAAGAAAACAACCTATTGAAAGACGTTAAATTTTCGCAATAGACTGAATTTGAACAACGTTATAGTTCAAAACGTACATAGTAGGTGTACCTATAGTTGGTGTAGTGGACACCAGAATTTCAAGATAATAATATTGTTGCTATGCTTACTAAATAATTAAATTAATAAATAAGGACATTTAATTATTTTTCCATCACAATACATAATGATGTAGATCTTAATATTAATCTTATAATATTGACATAAGCTTGTTTCTTCTCTTCACTTCACTTTGGTTCTACATAGGGTTAATGCAGTTTACCTGACAATACAATGATGAAAGTCAGGAACCCAAACTAAGATAACCCGTGCTTTGGGCTTCTGTTTATTTTTAATACTATTTTTAAAATGTATTTAATTTTATAAGTATTTTTATTTGATAAAAATGATTGAAAACAATACCATAACCATAAGTAGCTATTATATCTAATAATGGTTTAGTGGCTTACATCTTGGGGAAATTATAAACGTAATTTGATTATTGCTTAAGTTTTTACTAGTACTATATAGTACTCGTGAGATATTGATGTTATTGACAATGTCATATATCTTGTTTAAGTGCAACAATGTTCAATGATTAAACAGTGTTGTTTGTCAACACAACTCCTTCTTTGAACGTCTACTAGTATAATTAGCGAGGATGACGCTACCTATACAATTAAATAGATCGGACTAACTTACCTGTGACGTCCGATCCTCAATTGTGTAGGTAGCGTCATCCTCGCTAGGTCCCAACCCTTCCCGGATAATAAACATGTTTATTTTTACCCCTGGTCGAGTTGTGTTGCAGTTGCAGGTGCTTTGAAGTAAATGATGTTGCCAGTGAGATGACCATAGAGTATAAATATTTTTTTATGAATGTGTTCATCTTTAAATATTGTGACAGCGTGCCCAGATTAGTGCCTACTACTAGTATAATTAGCGAGGATGACGCTACCTACACAATTGAGGATCGGACGTCACAGGTAAGTTAGTCCGATCTATTTAATTATAGACGCCTTAAAATAGTCAGTATTGGGGGTTAAACTGGGTTTCTGACAGACTAATGGTTTCTAAATAAATCGCAATTAGAAATCACATTAGAATTATCATGAGGTTATCCATTCAGATTGGTCCATGGACACACTATCTGTCCCTCTCGTTCTATTACTTGTGCTAGACAAAGACAGTAAGTTTTAATCTGCAAAACGTCCAGCTAAATATTCGTCGTATGTGTGTGCTTATCTACTAAATGGGCAGTGTAGGGGTACAATAAAAACGCATGCGTGGAATTACAATTTACTGCTACATTTTATTATTATTGGACAAGGGACTTATTGTTATAATGATTTTATTCTTGTATTTAATAGGTTTAAAGCGTAAATAGTAATGACAAAATGAAAATATAACTTGAAGTTATAATAATTTTATAGAAAAAAAATATTTTTATCATTTTTCATCATTATATGAGCTACAAGATATTGACTGTTGACCATAGGACTAATTACTTCCAGATATGCCTATTGACGACCTACTACCTTTAGCAGGTCGCTTGATCGCCTTCTGGACATTAAAAATTCTTTTTCTAAATATGTGCCATTTTCTTTGCACTTCAGTGTACCACGTCATTACTATTTACACTTAAGGCCAAATAAACTTGACCCTTATCGAGCTATATAAATTCCTGATTTCTGACTCCAATATAATATCATACAAATACATAATAATTCACATCAAAAGGAGTACATAAGTTAAATAAAAAGTTAAGCTTAGCTTTTTAAATAAAAACTCCTTTCAACGATTTTCTATGTGTTACGATTTAGTAAATTATATTATTTTTTTATACATATTATTAATATATTTTAAAAATAAAATTTTTTGAACATTTTTTAATAGCACCTGCGCAGGTATGAGCAAGAGAGCTTAACTATATAGTCTTTAAAGCTTTGTCTCTACGCAACAAATGATAGCCGATGTAAAATCTGCCATAACTTAATGTGATAAGGTTGAAAATCACTTAAACATTGTGTAGCATGAATAGGGTCTTAAAAGAGTGATATTGTCAAACCCTTACTAAATCAAATTAACAGAAAGAGCATTTTAGGCAATAGTAGAAGCTATTACCTCACCTTTAGAACACAAAATAGAAGCTTTTAATCATTATTTGGTTACACATTAATCTTTTTAATGACAACGTGTTTATGGGGCGTGGTTTTCGTCAGTTCATTTTAAAAAAAATGGTTTCTCAAAACAAAAAATTAATTTATGTTGCATACGAAAATCTACCAGGCATCACGCAGCAAACTGTAGCTTACGTAGCACAATCATATTAATGCAAAATGACGTCATAGTCCACTACCATTTGTTGCCCAGTAAACGCTGGTTAATAAAAAGATTTTTGCAAATAAAAAAAGAGTATAAAACATTGGTCCGAACCACGCACTTAAATAAAACCAATACGACTAGCAGTGCGTTGTACTGAAACGATTAGGGTACAATACAAATTACGTCACACCTTGAGATACTACGACTTCCCGTTTGGCATTGACAGGTGTCAAAATGCCTGTCAAATTTTGTGTATGGCATTTTCTTTTTGTAAATTTTAGTCAGTTTTTCAGGTCATAATGCAGTATGGATCATGATTTTAACAACCGTTTGTATCGTGTATAGCGTTTGATATACATATATCTTGCCCAGTCCCAAAGCGGTCACGGATGACCGCTCTCCACTTACTCCATTATACACCTTATTTCCGATGATTATAAACTAAGTTTGTATGAACAAATGTTCAAAATGATTTTTTACATGGGATTTCGCAAAGCTTTTCGTTTCCAACATGACACATTTTCTTGATACTCAATCGTGTGACATAATTTATAGATGACCCTTTAAATGTATGAAAAATTAAACTAAGAAACTAAGTTACTTGTATTAAACTGTATAAGTAATAAAATTAATTAATGATTATTAGAATAATATTGTACATAATTTTACAATACACTTCCGTCGATTAAATTTCAAAGAGAATAATTTTTTAACAATCGCATGGCGACATTTTACTAATATTATATTTTTCCAATAACTAACAATTCCGATAAGTCAATATATTTTTGTCTTTAGATTTATTCACCTCATAGCATCACACTTTAAACTCCCAGAAGGGGAAGACAGAGGTCAAATTCAACCAGTAATTTGTACAAGATGACCTCTGCAAAATTCACTAATTAACACATTTTAAACGCCATGATGGTCATCGGTGACCGGCTTTAGCCTTATTTGCCTTCAACAGTTTTTATTGGCAGTCAAAGCCTTAATAAATTGTAAGATTACAATTGTTACTAATTTGTTTATAATTACAGTCAGCCAAGTCATTTGGTACACAGTTTAGAAAAGTAAAATTCTATGCTCTTTAAGCAAGCCATATCTTTGTAGCTCGGCTCTGTGTAGTATCAACCTTTACTATATCTCTACTTGCATACAAAATATTTTGGCTGACAGTACATGCATACAATAGTCTCTTTTTTCTATGAGACATCCAGCTGAATCAGGTTAAAACCTCATTTAATTCAAAAAAGGAGAAAATTAAACCTCCTTTAAAAAAAGTTTAACAATCAAGAAGAACAACCTATATTATATTAAACACATAATTATGAACAAACCTAAAGACTTAAAAAGTAAAATTGTGATATACCGCCGATTTATTAACAATGATTTGTTCTGTTGTGACATTATAAAGATAATAATATTGATTAGAATGTATAATGGGATACTCACCATGTCGTTTTGTTTCTGATTGCCGGCTACTTAGAGCCCCAAAAATCTGTCATGACTAACCAAAAAATAAATTTGGTTTCAGCCAGGTGCGACTTGTACCTCCATTTCTGCTTTCAAGACCAACGGGGTTCTTATGACGTCCTAAAGTCAAGTGGTTCCATTGAAGGAAAGAAACAGAGCTATACAAGTCGTCTAGCGAGATCTCGTTCCCTCAACGTATCCGTTCTGGCTATAAGACGTCATAATACGCCATTAAGAAACTATTTTCGTGACTTTTCTATTACAAGCGTAGAAACGCAGAAGAAAACTAAAACATCCACAAATTAGTGTTCCGGGTCTTGGTGTGATGTGCATATGAATTTTTATGTTTGTCAACGTATCCACGACACAGGAGCAATTGCCAGCGTGGGGGTAATATTTGGAAAAACATGACAATTATGAATATCCCATTTTAAACCCTAACTATTCGTGACTATGTCAGTTTAGTAACTTATTCTATCTATTAGCATGACGTGTTGTTATTCTTCCGAAGTCTTGGGCAGTTCAGGTCGGTTGCCGACACCGCCGGCGAGGTCGAATACTGCTTGACATACTTCCGCTGCTAATGTGTCTGCCTCCTAGTGGGAAAAGGTTTTATGTAAGTGTTTGTTTCACTTAAGTTTGTACCTTATTTCTAGTTTAGTTAAGATTAATAATACATTTCGGTCATGGTTTGACTAGTATATCGTTTCCAACGTTGGTAATGTTTTTATGCTTTCTTACTGTTCAATCCCAAGCGGTCACCGGTGACCGCTCTCCACTAACTGCATTATAGATCTTATTTCCGATGTTTAAAGACAACTTTTGTATGAACAAATTTGCGGTACGATATATCAACGGATTAAAAACAAAATGACGAGATGTTCACAATTTTATTATTTGCTAAATTCCTTCTACTCTTACTTGGTGGAATTTCACTGATAGCATAAACATGTGAAATATTGGTATTTCATTCCAGTGTTGGGCAAATCAACTAATTTATTCAATCAATTGATCAATCATGATTGATCTAATCATGATTAATTTAGTCATGACTAATTTAATCATAACTAACGAGAACAATCATTAGTCATGACTAAATTCGTTAATCGCAAATCACCAATCATTAGTTTTAATCATGAATGTATGACTAAGCTCGATGCACAGGTGTTGGTACACTACACATACAGGGTATAAGGATCAGCTGACCGAAGTCTCAGACCATTATCTTGAGTAAAGTACTGAAGGAATTAGGTACGGAAATGAAAAAAATTTTTGACTCTGCATACAAAATATTAAAGTCGGCTGCTAATAGAATATAATGTATAGAAAGGCCAAAATTTTTTCTTTTCCGAGAAAAAATTCCTTCGGTCCGTTACTTAGGATGATGATCTGAGTCCATGGTTTTACTTTGGTAAGCCATCCTTTACACCCTATATTATATAGCTTTCTTAAATATATTATTTGTGTTTATAAAGTTCAATACAGTTACACTGAGATGATTAATAAATAAATAAAATAATACAAGTGTAATTTAGTTAGTCTTATAATCGTTAAAGCAATACGATGACATCATTTACTTTTCGAAAAACAAGTAATAAATTACATGATTACAGTCAGATGAGGTACGGGACCCTAAAAACTACTAAAGTTATAGAAGGTGTTACAAAAAACCCCGTTATACTGAAAACCATTTCTCCGTATCATAAGATTTTACCAGGGCATCTATTTATCTGACCACCAAAAAATACTGAATTTTAAACTAAAACACTAAAGTCTAACCTAACCTACAGTAACGTTTTGTGTCCAATTCAGTATTTTTTTAAGAAGCAGAAAAAATATTTTACCTTACCTCGTATTAAAAAATATCAATCATAAATAAATAATCATGATTATTTGATTAAGATTAAAACTAATCAATCGTTAGTCATCACCTCGTGATTAAACTAAATAATCATTAGTCATCAATCATAACTAACACATTCAATCATTAGTCATCAATCATTAGTTAACTAAATTTTGCCCAACACTG